ATATTATTAATGCGTGGGGAATTCCATTTTCCTTGTGTTTCCTATGAAAGTAGCTGGGGATCACAGTCACGTTCATAATAGCCGGGTGGAATCTCCAGCCCCTTTCTGACTCTTGATGACAGCTCTGAGCTATGATTCAGCTTCTAACCTTTGTTTTGCCCTTTTTTACACTTGGAACCTGTAACACCTGACCATGCCAAGGAACTCATAGCCAACTCTCCTAGGTACATGTCTGACTGCTTGGATGTACAGTTACACCAAGCAGCCAGCAATCAAAAACCCAAAATATCAGCCATCTCTATCAAACCACTGTTTGGATATTCCGGTGGCAGTTCTCCTATTGTTGTCACCTCACTCTAAGTGCTAGATACCCTTAATTTGGCGTTATTTTAAAAATATGAAGGAAAATACAGTAGGAGATAAGTGATGACTGATTGTGGACCAGGTTAAACGAAGTTATTTATTATTATTATTATTATTATTATTATTATTATTATTATTATTATTATTGTCATTGCTATTACTATCATCATCATCATCATCATTGTTATTATTAATATAGCTGTTGGAGCCATGTAGTTTCTGCAGATCACATTCAGTTCTTTTTATTTTGTTTGTTTCTCTTTCAAAGACCCCTAATTGGTTACTTTAGGTAACATTCTTCATACCTAGTGTATGTTATGGTGGATACTCGATGAATTTTCAGATAATAAAATAAGTAAAAATTCATTTGATAAAATTAAAATATGACTTGGATAGTTAACTAAAGTAAAACCAGTATTAAGCACACTCCATGTTATGTAAACTTCCCATCTACAGCTTTTTTGCCATGTTTTCTGTAAAATGACAGGCCCTGTATAGCCAGCGTAGTGGTAGCAGAGAGAGTTGTCTCAGTTAAAATGTTAAAGTTTCCGGTGTTTGACTTGCAAAAAAATATATATGGCCAAGACAGCTACACATGTACTTTAAAAAACTTATTTTCTGATATTAGCTGGCTATGGCCCTGAGTGAACAAGTATAATGAGCAGATGCCTCCAAAGGCCCAAGTAAGTGTCCTGTGGCTTTCTACTTAACAAGGTTTCGCTGAATAAAAATCTGTATCACCAAGTTTAAAAAACATCCTTAAAATAACCCTTACAAACAATTCCATTGCTTAAAATAATAATGTTGATATCTAGAGTACACAATGTCCTTGTAAACTGTGTCAAATGTATCAGTCCACTGAGTCAACAGTGGTGAATTTTAGTGTCATAACAAAGTACATGTTGTACAATTAGCATCAGAGCTGCTATTGAGGCTGCTCTCCCTGTCACTGCCAAAGCTCTTCTTGCTTCTTGAGGAAGTGGTACCTGATGAACCTCCACGTGCTGTCAAAGAAAAAGAAAACTTGTGTCTATTTTGACTGGTGTCATTACAGACAGATCTCATTTATTTTACAGGTGAGGCCAAAGCTTACACATGCAGATTAACTAGCATCCAAGATTGGCATAACAAGAGAGCAAGTAATAATTATTACTTGTTCTCCTGTTATGACATACTTTGTATATGTTTATATAAACATAATACAAAATATATCATTGCCACCAGATGTTAAGTGTCATTATGGAGTTCATATACACCATACATACATATACATAAGCCGGTAATCTTCTCGGTTTGCAACCTCTTGACAAGGTGGCCACAACAGTTAACAAAACAGAATTTGCAAAAGTTTAATGGAAAAAGAGTTTCAAAAAAGGTTAAAGGTTTGTTTTTTATAGTGAAAAGTGCATTTAGCTTATCCAGCTAGTTTGCACTCAAACTGGGCGCAGCTGGAATTGACTGATGTGTTATCTCCAATTATTATCAGAAGAAATCACTCCATTTCTAGGTAAAAAACAACCTTTTTCCAAACTAGTGAGTGATATTATACTAATTTTCACATGACAAACCACATTAGGTCATGGTGCCGCAATGGGCTGATTCATCAACTTAGCATCTGATCTGCTGGGTTGCGGTTGAAGAAATAATTATTTATTCTTCAGACTAGTAATAGATGACACTATAGCTGCCCCTGCTCTGTATATTGTCAGTCAATAGTACTCTTGGTCATTGTGTAGCTCTTTGAAATATACCAATTCATATTGAAGATTTTCACACATATTCCATACAATAGGTGAGATAAAAACAGGAAACACAAGGTCCCATGCACTGATCAGTTCCATTTGTAAACACAGCTTTGATCAAAACATTCTCACTTTCTCAGTTTTTTTCTAAACCATAAGAAAAAATTTGATTTTAAGTTGGAATTTTTTGCTATTTTCCTTGCAATTTTTACCTACAGTTCATTTTATTAGCCAGAAAGTAAGCCTTAGAAATTAAAAAGTTTGATCAATTCACACTGGAGTGTCCAGTCTTTTGAAAAAACTTTATAGAAGGACAGCAGGGACAATGTCAGCACAGCATGCACCTTATAACTTCATCTGCGCTTCATCTGCACTTAACGAGTGTCTTTTGGTCTATAACATTCAAGAAAGCTTCTCCACAGGATGTCACTGATAAAACGTAATGAAAAAGAATATCAAAGTATGACTGTACAATAGGTGTCAAAAAATCAACCTAAGCGGTCCCTTTGGGGATCTTTGTTTTACGTCATCCTAACCATCTCTTATTTGCGTGAAGAATAGAAATACCATCATTACCCAGTGATTCCATTCGGCCCCTGATCAAGCAAATCTAGATTAATTTTTTGGGGATAAACTGACTGTATATTTAAACTGTAAGTACTTTTCGATACATACACGCGAGCTACTAGGATGCCTCCTGAGGATTTCGCCTTCTGAGCAAAATCATTGTGGGGGCAATAAATTAAAATATTTATTCTAGCGGAAAGAACTAGTGATCTCAAGATAAATCTGGTCTCACTGCCTGAAATAGCCAAGACATGCCAAAGAGTCACAAACTTGCATGCCCTGGTAAACTAGTGCATGATTTTATAGCTATTTTTCACATTACAAACTACTTGTGGTCTCACTGGTGCAATCGGCTAATCCCTCAACTTAGGAGGGGGGCATTGGGATTTTCGGTTTTGCGGTTTTGGCTATTTTAATTTTTAGATCGGTTTTTCGGTTTTTGTTGCAAAAGACTTCGGTTTTTTGGTTTTGGTGGTCATTGCGGTTTGCGGATTTTTCGTTTTTTAGCATCTGATTTTCGGTTTTCGTGAAAAATACTAGCCGTTTTTCGGTTTTAGTACCCTATGTGGTTTTTTGGTTTTTCCTATTTTGTCCTATTTTGGGGTCCGGTTTCTGTTCGATTTGAGCAGCACTTAATCTCAAATAGCCGCGAAACGCCAAAGTCATTTAGAGGAATGCGTGACAAAATAAATGTCATGGTAGGGTATCAAGCGTCTCCCTTGACGCCCGGCGAGCCTTTGACCTCGCAGACCAGGGCGACCATTTGGTCAGTTTGCGAGCTATGGCTTCCAACGTGCCTCCCGCACCAGGAGGGGAGTTATCAAATGGTAATGTTCGATTAGAGATTTTCAGTTGAAGTTTCCAGAGCTATAGCTTTTTGCGACTGTAAAATTGCAATTCTAAAGAGGACTTGTGTGCAAATTCTCCTAAGTTAACTAGGCTCCATAACTAGCGGCTTTTGGGAAATTGAGCTGCAAAGTCTGGGCTCGAGAGAGCAGCAGAAACAAAGCCTATGATTTAAGCAGACACAAAAAGATACGAAGGCTTCAGACAAAGTCCATGACATTCACAAATACTTTGGTGAAATTAGTGTTAGTTTAGTTTGCTCTGTATGCCCCACTTGTCACCATTGTATCGGTTTTTGATGGTTTTGTATGCGGTTTTCGGTTTTGGCTGAATTTTTTTGCGGTTTTGTGGTTTTGGATGATTTTTTTCTTCGGTTTTGCGGTTTCTAATATACCCCAATGCCCCCCTCACTTAGAGTCTCATCCGATCTGACGGGTCGCAGATTTAGCTGGTTCAAACCCCGTGGCAAGCCAAAAATACTATAACAATTACAGTATTTGTTTCTTCCTCAAATACAAAGTGATCGTGAGATATCTCAAACTGAAATGTGGTCGACTTGCCCAACGGCGTTCACCAGGATATTGGTCCACTCACACTTTGTCAAATAGCTGACTCAAACCATTTAAACTCACGGATTTTGCATGCCCAATTTTGGCCCCCCAGAAAGCAACTTTAGGACATTCCTGAGCGTCGCGAATCCTTTACTTGGCACTCTGCCCAAGTAATAAGCCAGTAAGATAAAGTTTGCTATAAAATCGCATATTTTTCAACCTATACGGGTCCTGATATTTTTTTGCTATTTATGCAATGTTATTGTAACGCTCAAAATTAGGTTGGCTCATAGAGCTAGGGCTACCTGTGATTTTTTCTCGGATTAATTTTGACGGTCTGCTATAAATAATTGGAGGCTGGCTCGGAACAACAGGTTGGTTTTAGATTTGCTTGCTGGAAATAAGATTGTTGATTAACAGCTTCGTGAAGCTGAAGATACTTACATCGAATAATATTTCTTTTGCCAACAGCCAGAGTTGATCGATCGACCTCTGAGTTTTCAATAAGTTCGATGTAGTTCACCGGACGACCATTGCCCAGGAACGTTCTCTCGTAATAATCAGAAATTTGTAGTTCTCTTTCTGTGCCATTGTCCACTCTAAAAACAAACTGATAAACTCCTGGTTCGAGAGACGGACAAGCACAATAGCTTCCACCCTCTGTATTCCACTGTTCCAAGGTGTAAGTGGTGCACTTATCATTTTCAATCAAAGGCTCTTGGCTGTGATCAAAATGATCTTGATAGATGTCTTCCGCTTTGCTGATCAGAAGTTCGACGCGCTTTACATTAACATGAGCTTCAGGTTTCCACGCAAATCCTATCGTTATATACATCGCTTCCATAAGTTTCAAACCTTCATCAGCAAGAGCCGTCATCCGACAACATTTATTTCCCAATCCAGATTGTTTATGATATTTTTTCGCTAAAATTGTGAAATCTCACCACAGGTTACCCAGGCTCACTGTTTGTCACGTACGGGTTTCTTGCATCGAGAACATATGGGGCGAAGTTTAGGTCTGGAAATTTGCTAGACAATGGAAATAAAAATCGATGAAAGCAAATTGCCAGACCTTAACTTCGCCACATATGTTCTCTACATTTACTCATGTTATGAAACCCGTACGTGACACAAGCAGTGAGCCTGGGATGCCTGTGATCTCACTATACCGACTGCTGACCGACCGAGTCGAGACCTTGAAGATCCTGAGGAGAGCACCAGAACGAGGCGGACAAATAAACAAAATGGCAACTATCATGACGACTGTTTTGAGGAGGACAACTAGAAATCTTCGACCGCTTTCAAGGTTATTGTCAACGGAAACGCACCCCAAAATAAAACTGGAACCATACGAACTTACTCACGAGACAATTTTCAACGAGGATCATGCAGAACTTCGCGCATCGCTCAACAAATTTATCCAGAAAGAAATTAACCCTTTTGTGGACGAGTGGGAAAATGCCAAGGGTTTTCCCGCCCATGAATTGTTTAAAAAGATTGGATCTGCAGGGTTCTTTGGTGTGAACAAACCCACTAAGTATGGTGGACTCGGACTGGACTATTCGTTCAGTGTGGCTATGGCAGAGGAGTTAGGTGAGGAACGCACGTACACAATTGAACACCACAGGGAGGGCACAGGATTTTGTCTTAAAATTTGTTGAAGGGAAAGGGGTCAAAGGAGGGATGCTAATTTTTTAGAAAGAGTTTTCCCAAGCTTAGCCAATCACACTGTACTTTCCAAATTCTGGAAAGTTGACCTTGACTGCAGGATAATTACTCAATCTGCATGAAACACTGAGAAAGCTTTCTTACCTATAATAAAATGTTAGGGGGTGTTTACATGAGAAAACTTATACTGGGGCGAGTTTCATACCAGAATGACTTTTTTATTTCGTAATGTGTTTACATTATGACTGTGTCATTTCATATCTTGTTATTTGAAGGCACACTTCATGTTGATAAAATACACGTAAGATTCAAAATTGCAGACATTACGTATACGCTACCCATGCCGTCTACCAGCAGACCGATTTCACACCGAAACATGTGGTCATTTCGCATTTACATGATACCGTTGCAAGATTTTGTGCTGAAGTGAAATTCTTGCCCCAGAACAACAACCGGGGGTGAACTTACGCCGGGGTGACTCACGCAGTGGTGGTATCATGTAAACAAAGGTAGAGCCATGAGAGAGAACCAGAGAAGACTCACTCTGGAGCGAAAGTCAACCCGGTGTCATGTAAACACCCCCTTAGATTCAGAGTAGCAAAAGTGATATTTAGTCAAATTTAAGAATACTCCATGCACTGCACAACCTTAGCAAAGGAAAGAAAAGAAGGGAAATAGTAACTCCAGGGTCACATTTTAGTCGTGTTTAGCCTGTAAACACTTTATTCACAACTGTTGATTGGTCACTTATCACACAAATAAAACAATGGGAAAGGAATGATTTTTTCAGTTGAGCAGGCGTTTGTAGGGAGGGATGAAAAATGAGTTCCCCTAAAAATGCCTGCATGGAAGGCTACTACAAAAGTGAAGTACCCTATTTTCTAGTTCAATGAAGGATGTTTTTATTATTAATGCACTAAACTGCAATGTCCTTTACTTTGTGATGTGGCTAAATGTAATTTCGGCAAAGTTAACCTTGAAGCAATGCTGTTCAGCAGTTTCCCAAGCTATACTAGGGGTGGCCTGATGCCTCTAGCAGGGGCACCTCGTGACTTATATATGCAGTTGCTTGCTTGCAGTTCTTCCCAAAGTGTTGTTGCAATAGCTTGCTGTTTGCGTGCCATTTTGTGCTTTGGTTTTTGCTTGCTTGCTGTTTCTGCTTGTACAATGACTGCTCGTCAAACCAACAGTAGTTTGGCTGCTAGTTTGGATGGGGAGAACTCGCCATCGGATACTGTTCTGCACGCAGAGTCGTCTGTTCCTTTGTCGCTCACTTCTACGGCAAACTCGGCACCACAAACATCTTCAACAGTTTCCGCCCCAGTTGTTACTGCTTGTGTCCATGGTCCCCCTCTAATCGCTGTAATGATCGATGCTTTTAAGGCCTCTTTAGTGGCAGAAAAAAGGCCCTGGCTCTACCTTGAGCAATTTGTGTGGAGCTACAAGCAGCTTCTGGGAGCATTCCCGCCCCATCACCCAGCTTGTCCAAGCAAACGGCGACCTTTGTTGCTTCTGGAGGCGCCTTTCCGGCGCATCAGGCAATATCTTTACCTTCAGCCACTCAAGGTAGGCCTAATTTTACTGTGCCATCCTTTGTTGCCACTTTTGCAACCTTGCGCTCGCCGATTTTAAGCACTTCGATCACGTCGGGTGCTTCTGTCCCGGTACCACTCAGCGACAGCTCCTTGGCTGCAAGCCTGCAATTGGGACCGCTACTCCAACAGCCGTTTGTAGTTGGCCCCCGTTTTTTCACCAATTCTGGCGAAAATGGTTAGCCAAATTGTTGTCGGCAAGTATGTGGATTTGGGGGACTTGCTATCAGTCAGTATCATTCAGGCTGCGCCGGAGTGATAAGCATTCCTGGATGGGCACTTAGTGTTTCTGCCAAGCGCTAAAAAGCATCAAGGACATCGTGACCTGGTCTGAAGCTTTTACAATTTTCACGCTGATTCTGACATCATATTTTCCACACCACTGGAAAGATTTAACTTCCTACAAGCTTCTCATCTTGCACACGTACAGCCAGTTTGGTGGTCGTGTTTGGCTGGCATACAATCGTTCCTCCTTCATAACCACCGCCTTTCTGATTTGTTACATTATTTGGATAACTTTATTACCGCAGGTCCCCCACAGTCGTCCCAGTGTGCTTATAACCTAAACACGGCAGTCTCTGTCTGCCACTGGCTGGGGTTGCCTCTTTACGCTAACAAATTTGGGGTGTTACGAAAACTAAGACCTAAGACCTAAGACCCATCTTAGCTTTCAAGATTACCCTAAAATCGACCCTAAGACCCCCTAAAATCGAATCCGTCGAAATATAAAGTCACATTGTAACCGAAATAGGTCTGATCTGTCAAATTATATCATGTTCGATCCTTTCCACCAAGTTTTAGGTCAAATTTAACGGTAAATTTAGGGGTCTTAGTTTTTGTAATTTCAAAAACTAAGACCCCTCTTAGCTTTCATAATTACGAAAAACTAAGACCCCCACCAAAACAATCTCTAAAATTTCTACAAAGTCGAATTACAACCGTTTGAAGACTATAAATGTATAAATCCGTAAGACAAACAAAAACTACTATCATACCGCGTGCTGATCTTCGATCCGCTAACAATTTGAAGACACGCTTTAAAAAGAGGACCAAAGCCATAGACTTCCTACGTATCTATTGTACACTGAAAATATGCCTTACCCCTATTGGTCTTTAATTTTGTTGTTTATCCTTTAAATCATGAAATTGGCTTTCCACTGGAGATGGATGTTTTTCCGGGAATCCTGACCTCTGGCATCCTACTGTCACGCAATCTTCACTTTGTATTGATTGTTTGTTTATTTTATTGTTCTGAAATTAGAACTCCAATTCTTGAGATGATGCTTTGCTAGTACAGGAAATTCATTCACTCATTCGTTTTTTAAATTATTTCATTAGTGATTTTAGCGATTATCCCTCACAGACTATTTCTCCTTGCCCCCCACCCCTACCCCTCAACTACCTTTGCATTGTAACCCGGTGATCTCCGGGGTGGCAATGATAAAAACAAATGCTAGAAAAACGTAATGTGGCATATTCTCTTTTTTTCGCCCTTTCTATAAAAGCACTTTTCAATCTTTGACCTGGCCAGAAAAGGAACTTCTTAAAGCCACAATATTGATAATGTATGTCTGCAAATTAAATTGTTAGAAGAAGCGGATCGTCTAGCACGCGGATGATAGTAGTTTTTGTTTGTCTTACAGATTATAGTCTTCAAACGACTTTGTAGGAATTTTAGAGATTGTTTTGGTGGGGGTCTTAGTTTTCGAAATTACGAAAACTAAGAGGGGTCTTAGTTTTTGAAATTACAAAAACTAAGACCCCTAAATTTGTATAGGTAATAGCATGATTTGTAGTGATATTTGGCATAAATACCACAAGTGATATTTCAAAATCGTTATGCTTAATTTCACAAGCCGCCAGGCGAGTGAAATTTGAGACAATTTTGAAATATCACAAGTGGTATTTATGCCAAATATCACATACAAATCATGCTATTATTTGTTTATACTACTGCCCGCGAAAGGTTTGTAATTTTCACATGTAGGTATTTCAAATTAAGCTGAAATACCACTGCTCTGAGCCAATCAAATTGCAGAAATTTCTCACGTAGTAGTATAAACCGTTAAATTTAAAACTTGGTGGAAAGGATCGAACATGATATAATTTGACAGATCAGACCTATTTCGGTTACAATTTGACTTTATATTTCAACGGATTCGATTTTAGGGGGTCTTAGTTTTCGTAATCTCGAAAACTAAGACGGGTCTTAGGTCTTAGTTTTCGAGGGTCTTAGTTTTTGTAACACCCAACAAATTTGTGGGTCCAGCCACTTCTATGACTATCTTAGGAATTGAATTGGACTCCGTTAACCAAGTGGCTCGTTTTCCTGAGGACAAATTGCTTGCACTAAGAGACCTCATTCATTCCTGGATGCCCTGTCGCTGGTACAGAAAGCGGGAATTGGAGTCACTTATTGGCCATTTACACCATGCTGCTAAGGTAGTTTGGCCAGGGAGAGCCTGCCCACCTTTGGAGATCTTGGTGGGCCAGGAAGCATGTCCTTTTTCGATCAGATAACGAGGCAGTAGTCGCGATTCTCATGACCAGGACTTCAAAGGTTCCAGCTTTAATGCACCTTCTCCGTGATCTTCTGCTCTCGGCGGCGCGTTGGGGTTTTACTTTCACTGCTGCTCATGTTCCTGGAGTCGAGAACAAAATTGCTGATGCT